AATTACAATTTTTATTTAATTCTGAATAGGCTTACATTGAAAGATTATTTCAGTTATCACGAATCTCATAGGTTTCTTAGCATTGCACATTTGTTGTATGAGAAAAAATATTTAAATATATACGTATTAATTCTATAATTCCCTGAGAAATGAAAGTTAGTGATTTCCAGTACTTAGTACGGTATCAAATTAATATTATATTAAAGTTTAAGGTCCTTGTCGCGAAACGTCCTGTAAGTATTTCATCAATACACTCAATCATACAAACAAACAGTATGTAAGTTATTTTTTGTGTTCTGTGACTTTATGGACTTACCTGTATAAGGAACGCAAAATGATTTGTATCAAAAAACAGCTATTGATAAAAAAGGCAAGTTGACGAAAACGTTTCTGCATTTTAGAGATTATTGACGAAATGTTGAATAAACACTCAGTTGATAACTAACATCCATTAAAAAATGAAAAATGGCATGTCCCGGATGAACTGAACAAAATAACGTTCAGTGACAAAAAACTTGTCCCCGATAAATTGATAAACAATATGTCCCAGAAGAACTGAATAAAATAGCATGTTCAATAATAAAGACTTGTCCCTGATAAATAGATAAACAACATGTCTCGGATGAACTGAACAAAATAACATGTTCAATAACAAAAACTTGTCCCTGATAAATTGATAAACAATATGTCTCAGATGAACTGAACAAAATAACATGTTCAATAATAAAAACTTGTCCCTGATAAATTGATAAACAATATGTCTCAGATGAACTGAACAAAATAACATGTTCAATAATAAAAACTTGTCCCTGATAAATTGATAAACAATATGTCTCGGATGAATTGAACAAAATAACATGTTCAATAATAAAAACTTGTCCCTGATAAATTGATAAACAATATGTCTCGGATGAACTGAACAAAATAACATGTTCAATAACAAAAACTTGTCCCTGATAAATTGATAAACAATATGTATCGGATGAACTGAACAAAATAACATGTTCAATAACAAAAACTTGTCCCTGATAAATTGACAAACAATATGTCCCGGATGAACTAAACAAAATAACATGTTTAGTGACAAGAACGTGTCTCAGATGAACTGATACATAGCATGTTCACTGACAAGTAACATGTTCCGGACGAACAGACAATATTTCCTGAATAAACTGATAAATAACATATCATAGATTGTGTGAGATATCTTTTATCCAAAAAATGTCTAGTTATTTTCGTAGACTGATATCCATATTTTAATCAACAATAAACATCAATATTAGTTCGACTTTACTAAAAATTTGTGATATTTAAAAATGCATTTTTTTTTCTAATTTCATTCCCGACCTAATTTCTGTTTATATTATAATTTTGACAAATTCAGAGTTAAATTTTTCAAGCTGTAATGCGATATAGAGACCAACGGCCTGGTTACTTTTGTGAACATAATAACTTAGTTTTGTTTTTGCGTATTCGCGCAAAGCTACTGCAGGCTTATCTGCGCTAGCCGCCCCTAATTTAAACTGATAAACTAGAGACCCAAAAGAGGGAAGGCAGCACCCACCTCTAACTCTTCGCCTACTCTTGTCTGTCCAATTAGTGGAATTTGACTGTGGCCCTTATAACGCACCCATGGGCCCAAAGTGCAGAGGGGGATTATTTTGGTTGTAAAAGAATAAGAACATGACAGATCCATATTCTGATACGCTAACTACTGCGCCACGCTCGGCTCCAACATAGAAAGGTTATTATGAAACTGCCTTAGTGTAAGGTAAATAAAATTCTTAACAAATTCTTGTGTCATTTGCATGATTACTAATTCCATTTTTACTTTATTTATTTTTTGCTGATTTGTTTGTTTTTGTTCAGCGCAAATCTGCACAATGAGTTATTTACTCTATGCCAACCACAGGAATCGAACCTCATATTTTACCGTTATAAGCCCGTAAGCTTACCGTTGAGAGCTATTTTTGTAATATGGTTTTTCTTTTTTACACAGTGATCAGTGTGATTACCAATACGACTGTAAGATATGTTGCATAAACGTTATAATTACATAATAAAGCCCCCACTGGCACAGCGGTATGTCTGCGGACTTACAACGCTAGAAACCGGGTTTCGATACCCGTTGTGGGCAGAAAAAACAGATAGCCGTTTGTGTAGTATTATTCTTAACTACAAACAAATACGTAATACAGTTTGTACTGAGAGTATATATCTGTTTTTATTATTATTCGCTGGTGGGTGCATGGATAGATTGGAAATATGACTCACTGTGCTGATGTTTGTTTTAGAGCAAACTCACATTGGACTAGCTGCTGTGTTCACCTCGGGGAATAGAACCCCGAATTTTAGCATTGTAAGTCCGTAAACTTACCGCTGTCTCACTGGAGGACGACTCACTCTGCTAAGTACGTATATATTATCCCAGATTTTGTATTTTGTTAAAGTAATACAAAAACGTTTCAACAAATATTTCTAAAATTGACGTTTAACTGATAACACATGTACAGTATAATATTGAAAGTGTCCAATGCTAAATAACTTTCAATACTCGATTAAATAAGTCGAGAGTTATAAAGATAAAGGCTAGGTTTTAATATAAAGTTTAAAATGCTTAACAAAAGTGAGTAATTCAGTTTCAAGCTAGTTCAACTCTTACTTATCCCAGCTAAGTCAACGGTAAGGAACGCCATCTGATGAAACTTTAACTGGTGTATATTTTTGTTTATGTACTTAGTTTTATATATATACTCTCATTCATATAATTCACCGAGAAAATTAAAACAAATACGAATGATAAACTAACTGGAAAAAGTTGGCATTTCCAACCATGAACCGCATGGAATACTCGTCCAGGTCAGACGTGGGGGCGTTATAATGTTACAGTCAATCCCATTATTCGTTGGTAAAAGTGTGGCTCAAGAGATGGCGGTAGGTGGTGATGACTAGCTGCCTTCCCTCTAGCCTTACACTGCTAAATTAGGGACGGCTAGCGCAGATAGCCTTCGTGAAGCTTTGAGCGAAATTCATAACAAACAAACAAACAAGGTCAGAGACTCCGAAGGCTCGGGCATGGGCTACTAGGTAGCACAACCCGCAGCCCTTGTTACTGATATTAACCGTTTAGCGAGTATAGGCTGACATAGTTATAAGGTAT